GTTATTCTCAGATGCTTGATGCATGTTGTAAATGTGATATTGATCATGCAAATAAACCATATGAGTATCTGAGGTGGCTTCCCAAGATTTGTGAAAGGCTGTTTCCTCCCTGGAGACAACTCTGATGTTCTTTTGTTTCCATCATCTCCTCAGACTGTCACCCCTCAGCAGATAATCTGAGAGAATTTCAGCTTTTATCTTCAGGTGTAGTGAGCGATAATGTGTTTTTGCTTGTAGGCTCAGCAAAGTTGCACCAGCTGATGATGTGAGCAGGGGCCTTTGCAGCTCGCATCTGAGAGCCAGCAATTGTACATGTAACCAGGACAACCAGAAGCAGGAAAGATGGGTTTGGGAGGAGGGAACAGAGTGACTGGGAGGTGCTTGGGAGGGTGAGCTGAGAACCGGGGCAGCAGTGTGAGGTATTAATATTACCAGGGGAGGGGATAGGCCAGACCACTTTGGGCACTATCCCGGGAAGAGCATCTGTCAGTATACAGACACAGTCACTTTCTTCTTCACAGTGGCATATTGGGCACCATAAGTAGGACAACCACATGTGATCTAGACATACCTGTGTGTTGTGCCAGAGTTCTCCCTGGCACAACACCTTGACCCCTAGCGGCGCTGGGCCTCTAGGGAATGCTCCAGGTCCTGACTTCTCAGGGAACCGGGCTGTTGGACTGTTGCCAGGGGAAATTTCTAAGAATAACATAGGTTAATTTCTCCTGATTTGCTGGCAGCTGATGGCTTGAGATGTGGGACGCAGACATCTCTGGGTGTCAGCAATACTTCAACCTTGCCTCTGCTTTAGCGTATCAAGGACAGTACTCACTCAGCTTCTTCCTCGTCATAACAATACCCTGCATCCCTTCACCACCTGCTCGTTAGTGCACACTGGCATTCTTCCTCAGCCTGTATTTAACCATTGCCTTTCCTAATAAACTTTGTTATATGACCATCAGTCTGTGACCTTTGTGGATGGTATCTCCCAGCTTATTCATGGCATGTGTATCTTTAAGCCATAAGCCCTAGATCGTGTTAGTGTCCATGTTTCCCGGTCATATAGCCATACTGTCAGCTACACCTGTGTATGTTTTCCAGGGTGAATACCACATTGTAGGGAAGCACATGAGAATGAGGTATTTGGTCATGTTAGAAAACATCTGCCATCTTTTTCAGTCTGTAAAACTTCCCACCAATTCTGGGAATACAGGAGAACTATTTATTCCTCATCTCCCTCCCCCCCCCCCCCCCCCCCCCCCCCCACCTTCTTGGGAACTCCCTGCATTTGAGATCTGCCACATCTATCAATGCCCTGCCCCAGACCACCACTTCCTGGCAGGCAGCAGCACGTGGATACAGCTCCCTCCCTGCAAGGCCACAACTTATGGGTAGAGGTAGGTCATGAAGATAGTAGCCTAGTAGTCACTGGGCTGACTTGTGAACAGCAGAATCTTCACACAAGGGCTCAGGCCCAGCCACCATACCTGACAGTTGGCTAGTTCACTAGGGGCTCACTGTGTGTTTGGCATAATGGTTTCAATACAACAAGCTGCTCTAGGGAAGGATGTAGGGGGCTGTGGATTATGGGAAAAGCCTTGGGAGAGATGTTCTTTGCTTGAGACTGGACTATCTCTGTGGCATGTTGTTGCTCTCAGCTGAATCCCCTTCCCAGAAGCCACAGGATGCCGCCTCAGCTCCAGTGACTCATGATACTGTGACGAGGTGTTCTTCTGACTTAGTTTAGTAGCTACTTCACATGTCTGGTCACTGCAAGCCAACACTGCTGTGGGAACTAGCTGAAGACAGCACTGCCAATGAGATACTTAGATCTCTAAATTGCCTCTCTGGAGGGCCTGTCCTTCTCGCACCCCCTGGTGGTGGACAGGAAAACTGTCAGATCCAGCAACTAGACATTAAAAAGTGCAAGTCACTGGGCCTGTGCTGGTGTCTGAAGGCCTTAATCTGTGTGGATACTGCTGCTGGATTTTGCAAGCTTTTCTCTGCATGTGGGTTAACCAGGATACCACATTATGAGACTTACAAAAATTGAAGTCATGTATGGGATTTGTAAGCAAACTGACAGCAATTCACTTTATTGGCCTGGAGTTGGAAGAAAGGGCAGAAGCAACAGGAAATGGACATTTCACCTACCCTGTGAACTTTTGGCTACAGGATTGATAGTGAGAGAGAAGAAATGCTAAGCACAGTGGCACTTTTGGGAAACAGATTATTTGGGAGAGGATGAAGCAATTATCTGAAGCAATAAGTTGCTTAATGCCACCCCCACAGCCAGGTAGTCCTGAGTAAGGAAGATAGTACTATAAAGTTCTCCAGTGGAACCCACACACACAGCTGAATTAACCCACGGATTAGAACCCCTTGTAACAAGAACAAGAGACAGTGAGGTAGCCACAACCCTTCTTCCTGGTTCTAACTCAGGAGCCCTGGGCTGGAAAATTCTTCACCCCTGGCTAGTGTTCTCATGCTCTGAGAAGAGATGGCTAATCATCTCTCTTGTGCACCAGTTGGCCATTATTATCTTTGTTGTTTTTTGGGCCACATCCAGTAATGTTTGGGACTATTCTGCCTCTGAACTTGGGAGTCACTCCCTCGCTGCTTGGGGGACTATGTAGTGCCAAGGATTAGTTCTGGACCCTCTGGCATACAAAGCATCCATGCAGCCTATGAGCTCTCTTCAGCCCCCAGCTAGTCGTTAGTAGATAAATGTGCATAATCCCTAGTAGTAGACTCCAATATTACCCCTGAGAGAACCAAACGTATAGTGAACCTAAAGAAATTACCAAGATGGGCACCTTTATTGTGGGAGTGAGTAGAGGGAACAAAGGGTGACTCATCACAGGGAAAGTTATACTGGAACTTTTAGTACCTAGACTCCTGTCATGTTTCATACTTTGTTGGTCCTCATGATAATATCCATACCCAGTCACGGAAATGCTTTTCTAGAATGGGGCAGACTAATACTAATGTAACTTCCAACAGTTGGGTCTGTGTTTTCCTCCCAGCGTGCCACCGACTCATTTCTCATCTCTCTACTTGGAAGGACTAGCTTATGGATCCTTATGGATCTTACAGGTCTATGGACTCCAATACTGCTGCAACCTAACATTCTCACCCTGGTCAGAGATCATAGTTACTTCAGACATCCCTGCTAGTGAAAAAACATGGAATGGAGTGAGGTGGTTAATATTTGGACATGGTCAATGACTTCATTCTGTTCTCCCTTTTTGGTTTTTGGGGGTGTGTTATGGGCCTCACCCAGATGTTCTCAGGGATCACTCCTGGCACTTCTGGATAGACTTGGAAGACCATGTGGTGCTAGGGACCAAACCAGGATTGGTCACATGCAAGGCAAACAACCCCTGTACTGTCTTCTGGTCCCCATCCCCCTTTGCATGCAAAGGGTTAATCATCTGGACATCTCATCCATCATATGGGGTGAACCTTTACCTCCTCTCCGAACGCAAAAGGACTTTGTGATAGAGTGCCGATTGTAGAACAAGTACTGCCATGGCCCCTCAAGAAGGGATCTAGATGTTTGCCTGTGTACTCTAGAACTCCCTTTTCCAGATCTATTCACCATGTTCTGGCAAGGGAACTAGATTATATGTTGGCCCTCAGTTGCACTAGGTCTGAAAGTTCCTGTGGCGGAAGTAGCGTATAAGTAATTAGTTTTTTTATTATGCAGTAGAGGGATTTTAGTACTCAACCAGAGGAGATGAAAACTTTAAGCAAAGTTACTCCTGCATGGTTGAATGAACTCGCATCTACTCAGTGTACTGACTTGAAAAGTCTAATGGGCACCTATGTTGTCACCAGTCCCTGAAACTGAAATGGTCTCAGAATCTTCCTTCTTTTGGTAAATGACATGAGCATATGCCCAGTTGTCCATACCACTAGTTTTGGAGACTTGGGTGTCAAGCTGATTGAACAAACTGGAGTTGTTAGACTGCAAAGAAACATATTTTCTTATGATTATACTCAGAAATTCCTCTCTGAGTTCTCAAGTAGATTTTAGTTTTCATTCTAATTTTTTAAATATTAAAAGGATTATTTGCCTCATAAAAGTCTAAATTAAAGCTTGAGAGCTCGAGAGATTGCTCAATGGCTGTTCAGGAGGTCCACGCTCTATCCCAGCACCAAAAGTTCCCCTAAACTTGCCAGAGGCTGGCAGTAAAGCCCATAGAAGCCAAAACTCACACTCTGGAAGCTGTTTCCCCTGGAGAGAAACTCTGGGTGACTGGGTGGACGTGGATCAGTGAGTGGAGCTACACAACCTTATGTCTGTGCCCATGTGGCCGCAGCTCTAGCCCAGGCAGTCAGTGTGTGGTGTAGGGTTGGGTGGGTAAGTGTGAGTGAGGCCTCGCAGACAAGCAATAAGTGTAACGTAGGGGTGAGTAAGCAGTGAGTGGGATGGATGGATGGATGGATGGATGGATGGATGGATGGATGGATGGATGGATGGATGGTAAACGTATGAATGAGGGGAGGGCGGGCGCATCACTGTCAGTTCTCTTGCTCTGAGCTGGGAGCCATGTCCTCCAAAAAATTTGAGGTGACACATGGCGACACTTGTCGGCCCGAGCGGGCCTGACTCCGGCCAGGTACGGCGGCCCCAAGGCCGGGCTCATCCCACCCGGGCTGCCCGGCTGGTGCCTCAGCCACGTCCTCCACCATGCCAGGCCGCTGCCTCGGGCTGCACGTCCCTGCACGTTGCTCTGGCCCGGCCCGGGCCGGCCCCGCGGCCCCGCACACGGTGGTCCAGCACACGGTGCTCCTGCACACGGTGGTCCGTGCCGCCCCGCGGAGCCCAGGACAGGCTGGCTCGGGCTTCCGGCGCGCCCCCGCCTTCCAGACAGCCGCGCCCTCGTAGGCCACGCCCCCGCGCTGGGATGTTGAGCACTCGGCCAATGGAGAGGCTGCGCGTTCTCCTGAGCCCACCCTTGCGCCGTTCTGATTGGTTGAGAGGAAATCGGCCCATCAAGCTCCCCCTGCCGGTTTAGGTGCGCGCGGGGCCGCGGCCGGTCTGACGCGGGGGACGCAGCATGACGGACGGCACGTGAGTCGGCTCGCGACCCCGAGCTACCGAGGCGCGGCACAGAGGGGACCTGAGGCGCGGCGGGCGGGGCGGTGGGCCGCCACTCACTCTCCTGCTCCCCAGGTGTCTGCGCCGCAGAGGGGGGCCCTACCCCACGCCGCCCGCCACCGACCTCGGGCGCTGGCGCCTGGAGTGTGAGATGGGCCGGCAGACATGGACCTACCTGCAGGAGGACGGAGAGGCCAGCCGCGCGCAGACGGCGCTGGAAGCCCACTCGCTGGGGATGGACACCGTAAGTGCCCGGGTGGCCGTGGAGGGCCGCGGGGAGCAACAGGGTGGGTCGCCCCGGGCAGCAGGTGGGTCTGGCGCGGCTCTGTGTGCACAGGGCTTGCAGGCTTTGCCGCGTCTGTCATTCATAAAAGACAGTTTCTTTCTTTCTTTCTTTCTTTCTTTCTTTCTTTCTTTCTTTCTTTCTTTCTTTCTTTCTTTCTAATTTTTATTAGTGAAACACCATGAGGTACAGTTGTAGACATACAAAATTTTGTGCTTGGGTTTCAGTTATACAATAATTGAGTACCCATCCCTCCACCAGTGCCCATTCTCCACTTCCAATGCTCCCAGTATCCCTCCCACCCCCCCATCCCCCCATCCCACCCCATCCCACCCCATCCCTGTGGCAGGTCATTCCCTTTTGTTCTCTCCTTTTGTGTGCTGTGGTTTGCAAAAGAGGCATTGAGTGGCAATCCTGTTCAGTCTGACTCGCTAGTTTCACCAGGAAATGCTGTCACGGAGCCGATGGGTGTTTGGGGTGTCACGTTCCATGGCCCCTTTCCCGGGAAAACCTGTGCTCTGGGCTTGGGGCATCAGACCGTCATCCCAGTTCTTGGGTGTTTTATTACATATTTTCAAGACACCTTGGAGAAGCTGTGAAGAAGATCTAAGTAGGTGACTTGAGAAAGAACACCGTGAGAACTCAGAGCTTTTCTTTTTCTTTTTTTTTTAATGTAGGAGTACTGCTACTTATTCAGCCACTGATTAGCTGATTGAATTGTGCATGAACTCCACCTTACTTTTTTTTTCATTTTTTATAAGGTAAAGGTAAAGGTAAAGGCCCTCCCGTTGATCGTCGATTTGCTCGAGCGGGCCCAGTAACGTCTCCATTGGAGACTTTGTTGTTACTGTGTCTGGCATATCGAATACGTCACGGGGAGCTTGCCAGGCTCTGCCGTGCGGGCAAGATACTCTCGGTAGCTTGCCGGGCTCTCCGAGAGGGGGGGAGGAATCGAACTCGGGTTGGCCATGTTGGCCGCTTGTAAGGCAAACGCCCTACCGGCTGTGCTATTTTTATTTATTGGATCACCGTGAGAGCAGTTACAAAGCTTTTGAGTCTAAGTCTTGATCATACAATGAAACAACCATACCTTCATCAGTGCCCATTCTCCACCCCCAACAACCCCAGAATACCCCCATCCAACACCCTCCCCTTACCTGTGGGGCAGATGATTTCCACATTACTCTCTCTCTACTTTGATCACATTCAATATTTTGACACCAGACCCACCATTATTATTTGAGATTTTACCCCAACACTCAGATATGCTGAAAAGGCAACAGTAGACAATTTGTTTTCTATTGCTGGTTATGAATAACATATGATGTCGCGTGGCTGCAGCAGTGGCTGCACAATTTTGAAATTCCGAAATTTTAACACTTAAATCTGGGGAGATTTCTGCCAAAACCTGCTGGGTTCCGAGATTTGCTCCTAAGTCTCTGGGATCATGGCCGTTAAGCAGCTTGATCAGGAGCCAGAAAGGCCATTCATGGGCGATGACTTGGGGTCTCGTTGGGGTGGGGAGGACAGGACCGGCTCCACTCCCAACCTGTGAGGCCCAAAATGTCTCATCACTGTGGGTCCAAACCTGACAATCCAATGGCCTCTGGAGAATGATGGCCACCGAGCCACCAGGGGGAAGCAGGCAGAGGGATGACATCCTTTCCCCCCTGGGGTGGCCCGGCGATAGTAACCTACTCCAGGGTCCAGATGCATTTCTGCCAAAAGCCGCTGGGTTTTGAGACTGGTTTCTGAGTCGCTGGGATCATGGCCATTAAGCAGCTTGATCAGGAGCCAGAGAGGCCATTCGTGGGTGATGACTTGGGATCTCGCTGGGATGGGGAGGATAGAACCGGCTCCACCCACATCCCGTGAGGCCCAACAAGTTTTGTCACCGCGGGCCCAAGCCTGACTGTCCAATGACTTCTGTAGGATGATGGCCACCAAGCCACTAAGGGGGAGCATGCAGAGTGACAACATCCTTTCCCCCCTGGGGTGGCCTGGCAACAGTAACCTACTGTGGGATCTGGACGCATTTCTGCCAAAAGCCACTGGGTTTCAAGATTTGTTTCTGAGTCTCTGGGAACATGGCTGTTAAGCAGCTTGAACAGGAACCAGAGAGGCCATTCGTGGGCGATGACTTGGGGTCTCGTTGGGGTGGGAAGTACAGGATTGGCTTCACTCCCATCCCATGAGGCCCTGCATCTCATCACTGTGGGCCCAAACCTGACTGTCCAGTAGCCTCTGGAGGATGGTGGCCACCGGGCCGCCAGGGGGAACAGGCCAAGGTACGAAACCTATTCCCATCTGGGTTGGCCCAGCACCAGTAACCTACTGCAGGGACCGGACACATTTCTGCCAAAAGCCGCTGGGTTTCGAGATTTGTTTCTGAGTCTCTGGGATCATGGCCATTAAGCAGTTCAATCAGGAACCAGAGAGGCCATGCCTCCAATTATATAGCTGAGCCAGAGGTGGTTTGTGGGTGTTTTTTCCACATACCTAACTTTTGGCCGTTTACTTTTTTGGTAAACTTTGCTCCAAGTTTTTGGGGTCTGGCCAAAGGCACAGCAGCAATTTTGGGGTATCTGGAAGTCTGAAGGCGCCATCAGGCTGCTGATGCACTCACCTCACAGGTACAGGTTGACCTGTTGGCAGCACCATACCCCCATCAGAGCTTTTCTTGACTTTGCTGAGATGGTATTTGATGGAAAACCTCGGAAACTTCACTGATTCCTACGATTTTGGCTGGGGCTGAGGAGCCGCCAGCTTTCATCTTCTTTCTTCTCTGCAGAGGAGTTACTTTAAGGACTTGCCCAAAGCCCACACAGCCTGGGAGGGCGCCCTGAATGGGATGGTGTTCTACAAGGAGTTGCAGGCCGAGGATGGGCACTGGACTGGCGACTATGGAGGCCCACTCTTCCTCCTCCCAGGTAGGAACTCCTGAGGGCTAGGCCACCTGGCATCTTTGGGGTCCTGGTCCTGTTCAGGTCTTAAGGAACGAGTGAGCAGTTGGAAATCAGGAGTTCACATAGAGAAGGACTGGGGAGAGCTGTCCTGTTGGCAGTGGCATGGGAATGAAGACGCAACTGGGCCTGTGCTCTGATGTGGGAGGCAAGGGTTGTTCTGCTCTGTGTGTGTGTGTGTCTGTGAAAGAAAGTGTGTGTGTGTCTGTGAGAAAGTATATGTCTCTGTATGTGTGTGTGTGAGAGTGTGTTTGTAGTGTGTATGTGAGAGTGTCTGTGAGAAAGTATGTGTGTGTTTGTGTGTGTGTGTGTGTGTGTGTGTGTGAAAGAGAGAGAGAGACAGGCAGACAGACAGAGAGACAGTGTGAGACAGAGTGAGAGTGAGGGTGCACAGTGGAAGGGCACTCCTGGTAAAGAAGTAGGGGTTTGGAAACATAACCTTTAATGTTAGAAATACTCCTAACCTATGGAGAGGAGCCAGGGTGGGCAGGTGGTGGTGGCGGCAGGTTCTTTGGGTTCTCTGAAGGCTGGATGGAGCAGCTTGGGTCCATGAATTAACTCATAGGAAAGAAGGTGGGGGCTGGCTGGCAGGAGTACAGCTGATAGGGCACTTGCTTTGCCTGAACAAACAGGCCAAAAAAAAAGACGTGGAAGGAAGGTGTCTGAGGGAGCTCAGATAGTGGAACTGCAGGGTCAAGGAGGTAAGTTGTAGGATGGAGTTGGGGCTTCCGGTTAATGAACTGACTGAACTACGTAGGACTATTTTGCATACTGGGAATGTCTCCCTATAGAAGTGCCCTGTCTTGTGAAACTGGAAATCCCTTTCTATGAACTTACAGAGAAGGATCCTTGGCTTGTTGTTTTTTTGCCACCCCAAATGGTACTTAGGGATTACTCCTGGCTCTGCACTCAAGAATTACTCCTGGTTTGGTCAGGGGACCATATGGGATGCTAGGAATCTAACCTGGATTGGCTGCATACAAGGCCAGTGCCTTAACCATTGTACTATCACTCTGGCCCCATGCAGAAGGATCCTTGTTTTCAAGCAGTTTGATCAGACTTGTAATTGTGCCTTTAATCTTATATAATTCTGAGGTAATTCTGTGTTTCTGTAAAAATACTTTCTTTTTCTCTTTTGTTTTTTGGGCCGTACCCAGTGGTGCTCAAGTCTTACTCTTGGCTCTGTGCTCAGGGATAATTCCTGGCAGGACTCAGCAAACCTATGCAGTACTGGGGATCAAACTTGGGTTAGTTGAAGAGAGGGCAAGCCCCTTGCCTACTATAGTATCTCTTCTGTCAGCCCCTCTGAAAATTCTTATTGATACAGGTTTTCATTTTGTAACTCTGTTAATTTTAACTTACTTTGTAGTATATGAAATTCTTTTATTACCTTTCTCTTAAAAAACATTTCTTAGCTGTGTCTGACCTTGAATTTATCCATATTGCCTATATCGTGATTGGATATGGTCCCTAGTAAAGCTTGATGGAACTTTGAACAGATTACTTTAGTCTCGTATATTAGTTTGGAAAGAATCAACCTTTAATGTTAGAAATACTCCTATGGTATTTATTGTAACAAGCCCTAATGAACAGATGAGGAAAACTGAGGCACATTTACTCTAGACCAAACAGTAGGAAGAGCCCTAGAATTCTATCAGGCCCCCTAGAAATCTATTGGCTCCAAGTCTTGCTGCCCACTAGACAATCACATTTTACTTTTCTGTCCAGGAATCCATGGGCCTTGTCCTTGAGGGCAAGACAATGGACTCTTTTTTCCTCCTCGGAGTCAAGGACCTGGACTTAGTGGTCTTGGGTACGTGCTTCCTGAGAATAACATCTTTTCTGCACGCAGGCCTCTTGATCACATGCCATGTGGCACGCATTCCTCTGCCTGCTGGATACAAAGAAGAGATGGTGCGATACCTGCGCTCAGTGCAGCTACCTGATGGCGGCTGGGGCCTGTGAGTCACTGTGTGTATGCATGCTGTGTGTGTGTGCATTCTTACACAGGAGATGCACCTACCATGATGGGTGCATCTCTGCTGTGAACCTGGGACTCTCTGGGAAACCAGGGAGGAGGTGAATAGACTAGAAGCCTGTAGATTGGCCCTGATTTCCACAGGAGCCTCAGAATGACTAGCAGTTGACTTTCTGAGTCTCATTTCCAATGATTGTGTTGGGAGTTTCAGCACTCGATGAGAGACTTTTGATATAATGCACCATAGTGAAAATCACTATGCTGTTTTCAGTGAGACAGCAAAAAAATGATCTTATTTCTGGGGTGACAGTAGGTGAAACTACCTCCTGCTTGAGTTTCACCTTGTCTTTCTCTGTGTGTGGCTAACTCTGAGAGCAAGGTCCTTTAGCAATGTAGTTAACTGCCCACTCCACTGTGGATGTGGTTTTGTTGTTTCTTGACTGGCATCCAGGGCTGGAATTCTTCCTATCTTACCACCAGCTGCCATGGTAGAATCCTGGGAAGACAATGCAGCCTTTGTTTATGTTCTCAATGAAGTTGTGGCCCTCTATAGTTTGAGGCTTCAGAGCGCAGATAACATTGAAATCTTAGGACAGGTACAGCATTTTGGCTTTCCCTAATAATTTACTGAGTTTGTTCTGTGCTTAGTGATGACTAAATCTTACTTGGGCCACTCACCTGGGACAGGGTTTTTTTTTTTTTAGGTATGAGAAGTGGGCAGAGGAGATAGGAAGGTCCTGTATAGGCAGTTTTGGAACTGTTCTGTTGTTATGAAAGATGTATAAACTTCCTGGATAATGACTGTCGTGGGTGTAAATCTGTTTTAAAATTCTTGTTATTCCAGGAAATTTCAATGACAGCATTGCTTCATTTCTTAGAAATAATGAAAGGTGCAATTTTCACCCCTGCTTGCTCTTGTAGGCACATTGAGGACAAGTCTACAGTGTTTGGGACTGCGCTGAACTATGTGTCTCTGAGAATTCTGGGTATTGGGCCTGATGATCCTGACTTGGTACGAGCCCGGAACATTCTTCATGAGAAAGGTACAATCTGTACAACCTGTGCTTAGATACAGAAATGTCATCTTAGCATAAAAAACTCTTGTAAATGAGAAATAGGTGATCCCTAGTGCCATCCATTTTTTTAAGGCAAAAATAGAGTTGAAAACTGTCTAACTGAACAGTAATTTTTCAAAAAGCAAACTGACATTACTGTGTAATTTTGTATTATGACATGGCGAAAGAAAGACAACAGGCCTGCACATCACTGTTAATGGTTAATGATTCTTTGCAGTGGCCTCTCTGGAGGCAAGCCTGGCCACATGAGAGTAGCAGGAGCAATGTTTGAGTGGCTCATGCCCTCCACTGTACCTCCATGACTTCTAGGTAGCAGCATCTCTCTTGTTTGCAGGCTCTGGTGACATAATGGATTATGTCCCAGGTGGTTTCCATGTTTTCACTCCTCTGAGAGCTTCAGTTGCTTCTCTACAGGGCCTGGCACAGTCTTACCTTACCTTTGCAAGTAGGCATCTGCTCAGAGCTCTGTGCATGCTTCCTCTGCTTGGGGTCTCCCATCTTCCATCCCACCTACAGTCTGGGAAGCCCTCCTTAGGCTTAACCTTTGATTAGCACCTTGGATATCATCTCCAGGAGAGTGTCCTGATTTTCCAGACTATCTAAGCCCCTTTGGTTATTCTAATAAACTCCTGCATTCTTCCCATGTAAGGCTTCCGTGTGAGTCTCTTATAGTGAATTCATTGGTTGACCTTTGGTTTTCCTTGGAACTCACCTGCTTAGTGAAAGATGTATTTGGGCATGTTTTCCTCTTGCTTCATGCCGTTTTACCTCTGTGACTTGGGTTTGTGATGGGAACTATGTCTAAAGTTGTATTTCTCTACATGACTGATGTTCCTGGGGGTGGCTGCCAAGTGGGGATAACATGTGAAGGCAGCTAGGCATTGCCTTCAAGAGGGAGAAGCTGAATGTCACCTTCTCCAGTCTTTCTTGTTCGCTGGACTCTTCTCTTGCCTCGGCACTAAGGTTCCACCTTACCTTGCCAGGTATGCCTCTTCTCAGGTAGAAGAGCGGGACACATTTATTCTGGGGAAGCTGCTGCTGGTTCTACCCAACAGCTGTGGTGACTGGCAGTCCTGGGTAGCTGTGGAACTTGCTTCTCGCACAGGAATTGACAGATTTCTTTTTCTTTTTTTTTGGGGGGGGGGGGGCGTCACACCCAGCAATGCTCAGGCTTTACTCCTGGCTCTGCGCTTAGATATTACACCTGGTGGTGCTAGGGGACCATATGGGATGCTGGGGATCGAACCTGGGTCGGCCGTGTGCAAGGCAAACGCCTACCCGCTTTACTGTCACTCCAGCCCCTGACAGATCATTTGAGGCCTGACTTTAGTTCTTGCAGGAAGGAGCACACATGATTCCTGAAGGGCCCACCTTTGCAGTTAGAAGCAGATGTTGTGGTATGGATGTGGTGCTTGAAATCAAACTCAGGACCCCATGCATGCAAGGCAGCAACATCCCCAGCCCAAGCATGATGTGGACTTGTTCTCTTCGGCAGGTGGTGCTGTTTTCATCCCTTCTTGGGGGAAATTCTGGCTGGCTGTCCTGAATGTTTACAGCTGGGAAGGCCTCAACACCCTGTTTCCAGAGATGTGGTATGCTCACTCCTCTGGTTGACTTTTGGCTGGGTCACTAGCGCTTTACCTAGAGCAATCAGGAACTGTGTCACACAGCACTTGTTTTGTGGAAGAAAGGCAATCTGTGTGTATGGTGGGGAACCTCCTGACAGAGGCTCTGCTTAGCTTAGTACCACAGAAAGATGGTTGGGGGCACACCTGAAATGAGCTATGTGGGGTTGGGCAATGTGGCAGTTGGGTGGGTCCTTTGGTGCTGATTATGGAGCCTCTGTGTGAGTCTTGGGTCTCTAGCTTTGTTGATTACATCTTATGAATACTTTGAACATAAGGTTGAGAAAAGAAATAAAAGAACCAAAAAAATAAGGCAGAGAGTTCCATGCATCACTAGTCAGTGTTTAGAATATGTGCTGTACTGTTGTTTTTTTTCCCCCCTTGTCTTTCTTTGACTGTGAATATTAAAGTTAAACCAAGATATCACAATTCACCCAGAAACATTTCAGTGTATTTCTCTAACAGGTTTTAAAAACAGAACCACAGTATTGTTAAGATATTCATCAGAATTGACACTAATGGCACTTTAGTATACCTTATTACATATAAGATGCTATAACCGGCATCTTAACATTTTGTTAATAATAAAAGCTGTAGACATGTCTCCTGAGAATTCCTATGTGTATAAGTATCCCCGTTTCACTTTTAGGAAGTGAGGTGCCCTGGACCTGGTGTGGGAGCTCAGGCAGAGCGCCTGTGACCCTCTGGATCACTAGGAGCAAGGAGCTTCCAGGGAGGTAGCTGTGTCAGGAGAGGGTTTTTCAGGAGAGGTACAAAGGAAGGGCCAGTCAGATGCCAACAAGCAGGTCAGATGGAAGGGCTCACTGGGGCTATTGTTGGGAGGAAGAAAGACTGTGGTAGGTGTAGAGGACAGGCACTCTTAGTTTTGTTTTGTTTTTTGCTTTTTGGGTCACATTGGCAATGCATATGGTTTACTCCTGGCTCGTGCACTCAGGAATCACTCCTGGCAGTGCTCGGGGGACCATATGGGATATTGGGAATCGAACGCAGGTCGGCCACATGCAAGGCAAACACCCTATCTGCTGTGCTTTTACTCCAGCCCTGAGGACAGGCACTCTTACCCCATGATAGAAGGGTTCTGGGATCTTTCCAGCATGTGTTATGGCATGCGCAGAGCAGGAAGAGGAGGGATGTGGGTGTCAGTTTGGTGTTCGGATCCCTCATGTGGGTGGGGCCATGGGATAACTAAAGTGCTGACGTTTGATGGAGACCAGCAGGGTAGAAAGTAAGGGATAGTTTTGCCAAATTGGAGGACTAGAGACCCTTAACCACTGCAGCTGTAGAAAAGCTGGCAATATTACCCAAGATGTGAAAAGTCACTCTGTGAAGGGAATAGAGAAGTCTGGGCTGGCAGAGGCAGGCAAGAGTTCAGGAACAGGGAGGTTTTGCTCTGAACACACTGAACTGGGCAATCGCAGGGAAAGTGGGAAATGGCCACAGTGATCTGGAGAGGAGCAGATGTCTTTGAGTGGAGACAAGATCAAGATCAGAGTCAGTAAGATCTGAGAGACCTACAAATACTGTGGAGATTAAAGTTTCAGGAACAGTTGCAGGAAGTCTGAAGGACTAATCTCTGCCACAAGTTTGTGTGTGTGCAAGGGCTGAAAACCACACACCAGTGTTTCCATTGATCTCTTGCTCGCTTCCTAAGCATTTAGTATACAGTGGTGTATGTCACCGCTGAGAAAGCCTAGGATGACCCTGAGTAAAAGTTTAGGGATCAAGCCTCCTAGTTTAGGGTGCTGCATCTGACTGAACCAGAAGGAATGGGCAGGTCTCCATGGGTCTGACCAAACCCCCAAGCGGCATGGCTGTGACTTACTCTTTCCCCAGGCTGTTTCCCTCCTGGGCGCCCGCACACCCTTCGACACTCTGGTGCCATTGCCGGCAGGTCTACCTGCCAATGAGCTACTGCTATGCCACTCGGCTGAGCGCTGAGGAGGACTCACTGGTCCAGAGCCTTCGCCAGGTGAGGTTTCCTAGGACAGATCTCCCGACCGAAGGTCAGAGTTGGCCCTCCTGAGTTTGGCCCTCCTGACTGCATGTTGGGGACCCCACAGAAATGGGATCCCATTGTTAGAGTAGAGCCTCCACCTTCCTGTGACCGCTCATTGACTGCTCAGACCACAGCTGTGCTCCAGTATCATGTGGGGATGCAGAGCACCATGAGCAAGCCCTGGCCAGGTTGTGTCCCTGGGAAGCTAGTCCTGAGATGGGACGTAGGGGGAGGCTATGGGTTAGTCTTGAGCCCTTGGGGGGAGGAGGGACAAAGGAATCATCCCCAGTCCCCTCCTGAGCACTGTGCCCATAGGAGCTGTATGTGGAGGACTACGCCAGCATCAATTGGTCAGCACACAGGAACAGCGTGGCCCCTGATGACCTGTACACACCACACAGTTGGCTGCTCCGTGTAGTGTACGGTGGGTGTCTCTAAAGGGTGGCCAGGGCCCTGCAGAATCAGGGAATATGGGGCAACTCTAATCCATAAGAGATGCTTGTCTTGGGGTCTGTGATGACAAAGGGTGATTGGCCATGTGCACCTCACGTCCGGCAGACCTGTCCTTACCTGGGGCTTAGGCTCCTATGGGAGACGATTTATAGCGGAAGTGATGAGACTGGGTGGGCCCTCTCAGCTTGGCTGGGGTGCTGTGTGTGGAACGTCTGTTCCCGTGCTCATTCCTTCCCTTGTTTGCTCACTCGTTCTGGAGTGGAGCAGGGTCAAAGCCAGGAAGCAAGTTGAGTGGACTGCTCCCCCTGAGAGCACCCTCCTCCCTGATCCAGGGCCATGACAGGGACATTGAGAAGCAGCCTTGGTGGGTAGCATGGCCACACTGGAGAGCAGTGTAGGGGCATGACAGCAGGAGCAGACTCATAGGCAGAGGAGGGGTAGAGTCAGGCAGGGCAGGAGGGAGGTGCCCACCCTGCCTGGTGCCCACTGATGCTTCATTTTCACAGCCCTCCTCAACCTCTATGAGCGCCACCACAGCACCAGCCTGCGGCACCGGGCCATCCAGAAGCTGTACGAGCACATCTCAGCCGACGACCGATTCACCAAGTGCATTAGCATTGGGCCGGTCAGTGCTTAGCGGCAGTCTCTGGGCCTTGGGATGGGGAGCATGTGAAATAGGAGAACATTCTCTGGAAGTGATTTCAGTGTCTTCCACCAGAGCCTGGGAGATCTTTACTCGATGACTTGGTCCTCTGATCTCACGGGACCCCAGCCTTGAACCCTGTCTCCGTGAAATTGGAATCCTTTATCTTGAAGCCACCTCCTGAGAATGTCCTTTCTCTCCGTTGAGCTTCTCCCCATCCACAGCCCAAATAAGCTTCCCTTTGCTTTTCTGTGCTGGTGGTTAGAGTCCTAGGTTCCATTCTACCCCTGTTCTCTTGTGACTTAGACTCTCACTGCTGGGTTTATGACCTTGCTTTGCCTCATGGGACTGTGGGGTCTGGGCAGAGGCCAGGGTGAACATGTGAGCTAGCTCAGGGTGGGAGCCGCTCCTAGCTCTCCACAGGGTTGGAGGTGCAAGAGGCAGAGCTGTTAGAGCCCGTGGTCCCAGAGTGTGAACTCTGACTCCCTCACAGTTCTCTAGACAAGTCTAGTTGCTAACATGTGATTGAACTGAACCCCACTCCCAAACTTCAGTAGATTGTAGATCACTATAACCCCCTTAGAGCAAGTTCCTTTTAGCATTAGTAGGTTTTTGGGTAGATTTTGATTTAATGCTGCATACGGCAGTGGTTTTCAACTACTCATCCACAAACTAGTCCTGTCCAGGTATAAAAAGGTTGAAAAATCATTGGCATGAAAAATGTTTTACTTAAGTTGGAAATCTGGTTTGTTTGGTTTTAGGTCATACCCAGTGATACTCTTGGCATCTTTGTGGCTCTGTGCTCAAGAGATTCCTCTTGGTGGTACTTGGGGATCCATATCGGGTGCTGGGATCAAAGCTGTGTTCAAATCAAATGCCCCACCCACTGTACTATCACTCCAACCCTGAAAATATGGTTCAGTTGGATCTAGACTTAGAACCTAGGCCCTGAAGTCTTATGCTTTGAGCAAGCAGTACTTGTAATGCAGATTTTGTCTCCACCTCTCCTGTGTACGTTAGACCACTTTTTTCTTTGTTCCCTAAGTTAACTAGGGTAGCACAGGACTGGTCACACTCCACGCACACTTAGGGCCACTAAACTTTCCTTATCCTCCTGGTGGGCTCAACTAATGTTGCCTCTGATAGGAAGCTTTCTAGCCTTCTTCTGTTGCAGTGCTCATTCCTTTTGCATATGCATCTTGATTCTTTTGGAGACTATTTCCCTTGCGACCTCATTTCCTCAACCTTGCTCTCAGGGCTTGATGAAGCATGAGGTTGCCCTGGGTGTCAGTGGAGAATATTGACTGGGCTGTGTCTTTCACAGATCTCAAAAACTATCAACATGCTTGTTCGCTGGTATGTGGATGGGCCCTCCTCTCCTGCTTTCCAGGAACACATCTCCAGGATTCCTGATTACCTCTGGTAAGTGTGGCAGAGAAGTGCTTAACATGTGGCTTTCCAGCTTGGTTCTGACAGACTGCTATGCTGAGTGGATTCACTGGAGCCTTGGCCATTGCAGGGGTAGGTGTTATGATCCCCCATGTCACTGTCCCAGAGAGGGAGCTGTAGTGCTGTGGTTCTGGAGTTACATATAGAAGTAGGAGATTAATTATTCGTGAAAACAGGGTGCAAAGTGGTTTTTTTTTAATTATTCTTTTTATTTTTGAGTGACCATGAGATACAGAGTTACAAAGCTAATCATGGTTGGGTTTAAGTCATAGTGTTTCAATACCCACCTGTCACTAGTGTATATTTCCTACCACCAATGTCCCTTTCCCTCCCCACAACTTGTCTCTATGGCAGGCACTTTCAGTTGATTTTGAATGGAAAAATTTACCACCTAGCAGAAATTTTGGAAGGTTCCAGATGGTAATACTAAGATGCCTGTGACAGTGGTAGCTTATTGAATGTCCAGAAGGTCTTGTTGACAGGAGAGTTGCTTAGTCATGGATTGTGCTCCTGTTAATAGTGAATCGTGGAGAGGGAGGTCTCAGCTAGGGCTGGGGGCAGCTTTCATTCCTCTAGCATCTGTGGCCTTGAGCTACCTCTGGGCCACTATAGCCCAGGACCTCTGCCTTGTGGATGGGAAAGCTCACAGCTCTGCCAGAAGCCCTCTGCCACTCCAGATGTGTGCTCTGACCTCCTGACTTCTGGCTCTCGCACTTCTCCCTGACTTGGACTCTTCTCTTCACAGGCTGGGCCTCGATGGCATGAAAATGCAGGTAAGAGCTGCTTTCTTCATTTGTATCCACTCCTGCCTTCTGGGTTTGGGAGACACAAAAATGACTCTTGAAGCACATTTTGGACAGTATGTGGGAGTCACCTCAGACCCTCTGAGGGGCACATAAGTGCCTCTTGGGCGTTTGCCATCTGGCAGCCATTGCAATAGGCTTGGGAGGGTTGTGGGAGAGCTGAGTGCTCTCTGCCACTGTATGTGAATAGTTTGTTACCAGAGTAGTTCAGAGGTGCCTGTAGAAGAGCCACATATCCCACAGTGATCTTTGTGGACAGATCTGCTAGCCTACCAGCTCATGGTGGGGACTTGGCTAACACAGGTGAGCAGTGGGCATCAGACAGGAGAACCCATGACTTCAGGACCTCTGAATCGGGCACCTCCAGCTTCAGGGCTGCCTTACCTACTTAAAGGGTTGGCAGCCTATTTTCCCAACTACCCCCTTGGTGTCCATCACTGCATCACTATTCCATGCTTTATACTGTTTGGCTCTGATACTCTGGTACCATCACTCACCCACTTATTCTCTGTGAGTGACCCTCGGGGTGTGGGTGATGGTCATAGGGCTGTCTAAGCTCATCGGATTCCGTCCTAGCTACAGGGTCCTAGAAGTGCCTAGAAAAACCCTCCGAGGGTTTGTCATCTATAACTAACCTGGCTCTTTGGAGCAGTGTGAGACCTCTAGTAATAACTTCTAGTCACATAGGCCATAAAATCTCAGAGCCTTCACTTCAGAAACTGTGTCTGGGAGGCTGTGCCCACTCCCAGCGGCCAGACTACCCACTCTGCCACTGTTTGGTAAGAAGATTTTCAAAACACAAAGTGGAAAAGTGTGATTCCCTCTGTGGTCTCCCCACCCTTTCCTATTCCTTTAGTGCCTCTGGTTCTGGGGGCATTTTTGACTCTTACCTAAACCCTTTGCTCTGTGCTGTGAGCACTATCAGAGAGGCAACAACAACCCCCAGTTCAGTTTTGCAGGTTTGTGGGCAACAAGATTCAAGAGGGTGGTTTATTTCTCTGTGTGTGTGTGTGTGTGTGTGTGTGTGTGTGTGTGTGTACGCATGCACAACTAGCGGCCCCTCTCTGAGCTGGGTCTCAAGTTTCTAGTACCAGGATGGTATAGCTTCAAAGTTGCTTCCTCCAATGACCCCAAGAGTGGTCTTTGCTGGGTGATTGGTCTCTAGACTCTCCAGGTTCTGAACCTGACATCACTTCCTCTGTGCCCTATATTTTCTGCAGACTAACAGTTAGGACCTGCAACTAGATCCAGCTTGGGTTTCTGTTCTGACCAGTGACTTTCCTCATTGGGGCCCTCTTTTCAGCAGTGGACCCTGCAGGCTGACAGCTGGTGTTATTGCTGGGTCTTTTCTGGCCCTGGTGCTGCTATCTGTTACTGTCCAGTTTGTTTCATTGAGCTTATGCCACTGGCATTCTTGGCACAACCAGAGTGTTGACAAGTGGACTGGGCTTCCAGGGTCCGTTCCAGTCCTGTCGAAGCATCACTAGGCTCCACACCTCCAGCTGTACTCATAAGTGGGAATGTTCCTAGTCATCACTGTTGTGGGGTGTGAAGCTCACATTGGTGATGGGTGAACATCGAAGACCAGGTGATGGTGGTTCAAACCCTAGAAGTCATGCTGTGCCCCCATTAATGCAGGAGAGTGTGCCTGTCCCCCTTGCCCCTGTAGGACTAGCCCCTTCCAGGCACTTGTGGGATCTGAGAAATGTGCAGAGACCAAAGCCTAGATTCAGGCATCAACTGGACTCTAGCTCTCTCTAGGATCTGGTGGGAACCCCAGATCCCTTCTCCCTGCACCTGTCCCTGGGACCTGGATGGCAGTGTGGGTGAGAGGATGTGGCAGCTTGCTACTATAATGCTTATTTTTCATGCACAGGGCACCAACGGTTCACAGATCTGGGATACCTCATTTGCCATTCAGGCACTACTGGAGGTATGTGGCTTTGTATTATGTGGCTTTGTATCCTTGCCCTTCAGATTCCAGCTGGCCTTCCTGTTTGTGGATGTGGTCCCTGAGGGACCTGCCTTGGTCATCAGGGTTCCATGCTTTGCCAGAGTGCCAGTGAGGTGATAGCCTTTCCTGGCTGATCTGGGTGGTGGCCAACTTAGAGACTTCTGAGAAGGATGCCAAGGGCTGTTCCTGAGCAGATAGGGCACTGAGGACATCTAGAGGTGGGAGCAGGGGCTCTAGGTTTTTCTCAAATATTTGACTTCTCATAAGCAGCACTTTTGAACATTTCCCAGAAAGAAGTGAGAGCATATTTTATACGGCAGGATTGGTATCTGTGCTAGTAGACCTGCCTTTGACGGAGCGTGGGCCCTCTGGATGTAGCCCTGGCCAAGACAGGTTGCAGTGAGATTGCCACTCTGTCCACTTATTTTTCATTATGGTGTTCTCACTTGTTATCAGAAACCCAAGTGCCTGAGACTCGCGTGCATTTGCCTCATGTTCCTAGTGGTGCCAAGAAGGGCGTAAAGGTTGTCTGGGCACCAGGGTCCTATGCCAGCTGCTGTTAAGGGCTCAGTCTCTCCTCTGCTTTGCTCTAGGCCAGTGCAGAACTCAGGCCTGAGTTCTCATCCTGCCTGCAGAAGGCACATGAGTTTCTCCGGACCTCACAGGTAAGACTGAACGCAGCTTTGCCTGGGCTTTTGACGGCTTCTCCCCAGGTACTACCCTTACCCTTCCTCTCTAGCTCTGTTACTGGCCACTTCATAGCAATGACTGGGGCTTGTCGTGGACCATGGTTGGGTGGGTTAAGTCCCTGCTGGCATTGCTGGTGGTTAGTAGGCAGCAAGCCAGGCGTTGCACATCCTGCTGTTTCTTTGCCCTGTCCTGCTGTTTTGTCAGTGACTGGTGCCAGTACCTGTTCTCCATTCATACTCTCCGGTGTTTTCCAGGTCCCAGACAATCCTCCTGACTACCAGAAGTACTACCGCCAGATGAATAAGGTACCTGAGACCCACTCTGTGCCCCTAGTCACTGCTGGGTCCCTGACCTTGGAGTGGCAGCCTGGTTCCATGAGCCTGGCCTTTGGGGGAGGGCTCATCCTGGTGTCCTGGGCTTCCTGTTTTGACTGAGATATGGCTTGGGGTTCCACTGATGTCCCTGGCTATCTACAACCGGGAATATGGTAGTCCTCTGCCATTACGGCACAGGCCATGTACACACTTTTGCCTGTGAGATTTTTCAGACACCCAAGTGTGGAGGATTAACTTGCTGTGGATGAGGGTGACTGGGGAGGGAGTGTGAGAGCTGGCCTGCTATCAGGGGTACCTGGGCCATCTCCTGTGGTAGAAAGCAATGAAGAGGTCAGGCTGCCACCCCTGGAGAGAGGAAAGCAAGGGATCAGGGAACCTTGTGTTGTGGGGATGGGATTGCAGCCTCCTCCCTTTTGTGGTAGCCCAGATGAGGAATGGGTCAGTCACAGAGCCTACACTTTTCAGGGCGGCTTCTCCTTCAGCACTCTGGATTGCGGCTGGATTGTTGCTGATTGCACCGCTGAGGCCTTGAAGGCCATCCTTCTCCTGCAGGAAAAGTGTCCCTTTATCACCAAGCATGTTCCCCGAGAGCGGCTCTGTGATGCTGTGGCTGTGGTGAGCCTCCCCGAAGCCAGGGTCCCTCCAGTGTTGAGGTTGAGCGAGCTCACCTCCTCTTCCCTCAGGGCTGGCCCTCTAATGGCTCTATGCAGTGGGTGAGGGCAGTGGTGGGGACTCTGGTACACCCTAACTGTTTTTGCTTATCTGGGTTGTCCCATGAAGGGCCAGTATCCTTATGGGGGGGCTGAAGGAAGAACAAGAATTTCTTATATCAAATCCTCTTGTTCAGGTTTGACATGAAAGGAGCTGTGTGCTTGTAAATGGACAGACAACTGCGTGTTAATGTGTAGGGTCCCCCCATTACTCTGGTCAGACTTAGTACAGTGTGCAGCCTGTTGTTGAAGGCACCTGGGACTTGGTTGAATGGGACACTGCCTTTCCTGCTCCATTAGATCCTAACCTTCAATGCTTCTACAAACCTTCTAGAAGCCTGTGGACCCTGTTCATGGGCAGTGCATGGGTGTGTTCTACAGCATTTTTTCTGTGGTTTTAGTTGCTGAACATGAGAAATTCCGACGGAGGGTTTGCCACCTATGAAACCAAGCGCGGAGGGCTCTTGCTGGAGCTGCTGAACCCCTCAGAGGTCTTTGGTTAGTGATCAGCCCACAGTGTGCCCACAGATTGGGGACCCTCAGCCTGCAGCAGGCTTACCCATGCCTCCACTCTGTCCACTGGTACTGACTACTTTCAGTTCCCATGGGCCTGGGAAATGCTGGGAAACCTATAAGGAATCTCCCTCAGTATTGACAGCTCTGCTCCCCAACATCTGAGAGGGGTGGGAGAGCTGTGATTCTGCTTCAGGTGTCTAGGGAGGAACTGGGATTTGTACCTGTCTCTCTGGGGTCCTTTGTGGGGGTTCTCATCTCCTGAGTGCTTCCCACAGAGCTGACAGTGGGATCCACATTCCCTGTGGCCTTCCTATTGTGTTACCCCTCCATGGTGGGCGGGGGGCTCCAGTGATACCCTCAAGCTATCAGTCTGCCCAGCACTATGCTCTTTGGAGTGAGTGCAGTTCTCTGCTGTGTCCCTTCCTCCCTCTTCTCTCCAGTCTGACTGTTCTGCAGCAGAGCTGAGCCTCAGGTCACCCTGTAGGTACAGCTGCTGCCCTGCCACCTGGGAACTATTGCCCCAGGCTAGATCCTTACAGTGTCATTTGGGAGCCCCAGGCTTTTGCAGTGGTTTGGCCTGAATTGCTAGTTGGGTGTTTGCAGTGAAGTTTTTACCCCTCTTACCTTTCTTACCTTTCCCAGGGGATATCATGATTGACTACACGTATGTGGAGTGCACCTCGGCTGTGATGCAGGCACTGAAGCATTTTCATACTCAGTTTCCAGACCACAGGGCCGAGGAGATCAGGTGGGGATGGCCTCAGCATAGGACACTGTTACTCCACCACAGATGCCACAGGCTCAGGCTCAGAGCTCAGAGGCTGCCACACTTGACTCTGGTGCTGAGGGGCTACTCCCAGCTCTGTGCTTGGAGGGGTGGTAGTGATGAATTCATTCCAGGTGGTGCTCAGGGAACCCTGCAGTGGTGAGGGTCCAAGCCAGAACTTCTGCATGCAAGACATGAACTCAGTCCTTTGAGCCATCTCTACAGTGACTGTGGGTAGTAGCTCTCCTTTTCAAGTTGAGGAAGTTCCTCTCCTGTTCCTATTTTGCTGACAATGGCGATCATGAACAGGTTTTAGCTTTTGTCAAATACTACTGCTCTATCTATTAATGATTTTATTTTTTTTCTTCTTTAGACTGTTGCTTTGATAGATTGCATTAATTAATTTTTTAATATGGTATTTTATTTTAAAATCACACTTTAAACCTGGATAAATCCCACTTGTTTATATGCATAATTCTTATTATAGATTTTTAGGTTTGACTTGATTTTTTTTGTTTTTGAGAATTTTTGTATCTGTGCTACTATAGTATAGTATATCAGTTTATAACCTTCCTTTTTGTTATGTCTCTGTGCTCAAGGATCACTCCTGGGAGAGGCTCAGACGACCATATGTAGTGCTGGGGATCAAACCCAGCTTACTGCGTGCAAGGTGGTGACCTGGGTAGACCCATTGTATTACCCCTCTGTGGGTATATCTCTCTGGGATATCTCACTGCATATCTCTTGGTGGGTAATTATAATCACCCACTGTATAGCTCTCTGGATATATCTTATTGTATAACTCTTGGTGGGTAATTATAATCTGTAGCACTGTAGCACTGTCCTCCCATTGTTCATCCATTTGCTTGAGCGGGCACCAGTAACATCTCACAACAAATTGTGAGACTTCTTGTTACTGTTTTTGGCATATTGAATACGTCATGGGGAGCTTGCCAGGCTTTGCCATGCCCACTATATATATCTCTCTGGCTCTCCCTTTATTTTTATTCTCTGAGAGAGATTGTGAAGATTTTTGTATTATTTCTACCTAAAATGTTTGGTAGAAATCACCAGAAATCACTTGGATAACTCTTTGTATTCCAATTATAGATTCTTTGGGTTTTCTTTGTAGACTTATACTTATTTATGACATATTTTTTCTTTAAGTCTATAGACCTAGGGTTGGCGTGATAGTACAGTGGGGAGGGCGCTTGTCTTGCACGGGACCAGCTGGGTTCTATCCCTAACATCCCATATGGTCCCCCGAGCACCACCAGGAATGATTTCTGAGTGCAGAGCCAGGAGTAAGCCCTGAGCATTGCTGTGTATGGCCCCAAGACCTAAATAAACTGTCACTGTCACTGTCCTCCTGTTGTTCATCGATTTGCTCGAGTGGACCCAGTAACATCTCCATTGTGACAATTGTTACTGTGTTTGGCATATCGAATACATCATGGGTAACTTGCCAGGCTTTGCCATACAGGCAAGATACTCTCGGTAGCTTGCCAGGATCTCCGAGAGGGGCGGAGGAATCAAACTCGGGTCGGCCATGTTGGCCACTTGCAAGGCAAACATCCCACCTGCTGTGCTATCACTCCAGCCCCTAAATAAATAAATATTAGTTCATAGGTCTGTAGTTGTTTTCCTTTTCCTTTTTTTTCTTTCCTTATTATTATTTTTTTAAAACTGCCTTCGCTTAGACCTCCAGTATTTTGCTTAGCAAAAGTGGTCATAATGGCATATTTGTCATATTTATTGATTTTAAAGGGAATATTTGTAACATTTTTATTAAAAATTATGTGTTGAGGGGCTGGAGCAATAGCACAGTGAGTAGGGCATTTGCCTTGCATGCAGCTGACCCGGGTTCGATTCCCAGCATCCCACATGGTCCCCTGAGCACCGCCAGGGGTAATTCCTGAGTGCAGAGCCAGAAGTAACCCCTGTGCATCACCAGATGCGAGCCAAAAAGCAAAAAAAAAAAAAAGGTTTGGAAGATTTTGGTAGTTAACCTTTTTCATGTTTTTAACATGAATTCAATAAGTTGTTTTTCTCTCTTTTAAATACGTTGAATCTTAGAAGATGACTTTTCTATGTTTATTAAGATTATATATTTATCTTGATTTGTTAGTGTTATAAGTGATAATTTTAGTTTTTCTAATGTTAAAATGTCTTTGATATTAGGAACAATACTGATTGTTCTCTACTATATTTAGTTTCTTAATATTTAGATTTTTCATCTATAACTGAGACATCTCACACTTGATGGCTTACTGAAAAGCTTATATTAGATCCCTAGAATGATCTAGGAGGTGTTTCTTTCCTTTTCTATTTACTAGAATAGACCTATTATTCTAATTTTGAGTAAAATTAGAGTAAATTCCTGTGATAATTTAGGAGAATCCACTTATAAAACTCTGAGGCTTGAAATTCCTTTTCTAAGAAAAATTCACATATGTTTTGGTGGTGGAAGGGAGTTGCACACTCTCAGCACTGCTCAGGGCTCACTCTTTGTGAATGAGTGATTCAACTTAGGGAATCACTCCTGGTGGGCTCGGGAGACCTTATGAGATGCTGGGGATTATACCTGGGTGGGCCACATGCAAAGTAGATACCTTACTAACTGTACTGTCTCTCCCGCCCCAGTTTTCTCTGTATTCTAAATTAAAATTTTTAAATTTTATTTTTGGGTCATACCTGAAAGTGCTCAGGTGATACTCCTGGCCATTTGCTTAGGAGTTGTTCCTGATGGTGCATGTGGGAGCCTTTAAGTGCTGAGGAAGTATGCACTCTGACCCTGGACATATCCCTCTTTATTGCTAGTAGTGTTTGTATTTTCACTCTAGGTGCTAGAGCTCTGTTACTACAAACTTGAGCACTAAAAGTGGCACACATTTAGTATTTCAGTTTCTGAAGGTTTTCTATTCAGTCATGGCTTAGCCTTCTTTGTTGCTTACTCTGTTTACTAAATTTTTTTTATATATTTAGTTTACTTTAAAAAAAATCAAATTTATTTGTGGGGGCAGGTGGTAAAGGTCATAGTTGGTGGTGCTCAGGGGTTCCTCCTGGCTTTGTTCTTTGGGGTTGTTCTGGTGGTGCCTAGAATCAGACTGGGATTGTCCATATGCAAGGCAAGCACCTTAATCCCTGTACTGTCTTTCTGGCCCACTCTGATATTTTCGAAGTAGGATCTCCCCTGTGGTTTTAATGGCCACCCGAGGATGCTCTGGGAAGCACCTAACCCAGGTATGGGTCAGGTCTCAGGGTTCAGTGCTCAGGCCCCTTGTACATGCAGGGTCTGTTCTCAAGTCTTTGAGCTATCACCCTTGTCCTTCTTTCTAACTTTTAATTAATCTGTCGATTGTGTGTGTGGGGGGGCACACCTGCCTGTGTTCAGGACTTACTCCTGCCTCTGGGCACCAGAATCACTCCTGGCAGTACTTGGGGGACCATATGTAGTGCAGGGGCTCAAACTGGGGGCAGCTGCATACAAGGCAAATGTCTTACCCCCTGTACTGTCTTTCTGACCCCCTAACTTTTTTTTTCTCTTTTTGGGTCGCACCCAGAGATGCACAGAGGTTACTCCTGACTCTGCACTCAGGAATTACTCCTGGCGGTGCTCAGGGGGCCAAATGGGATGCTGGGAATCGAACCCGGGTCGGCCGCGTGCAAGGCAAACACCCTACCCGCTGTGCTATCACTCCAGCCCCTTGGCCCCCAAACTTTTAACTAAGAAGATTTAATTTTGTATGGTTTCTCAAGCCTGTGCCACTGGCAGGGTTTTATTTACATGGATTCTGTTTTCTGTGTGTGGAGGGATTTTGTCCCTGAAGTTTCACCATTTCTTTTTCTAGTCTTCCAGTTTTCTTCTCCTTCTCATGTCTGATAATTGCTCCTTCTTTGACCTGAGCTCCTGTGTCAGCTGTTTATTTTTGCAAGTATTCTTACAGGAGAGCATGGTCATTCTTAGACGATAGAATGACCAACCCGGAATTGGTAGAGTTGGGGTTGTTAAATTGCTGTTTGCTGCATTAGTTACTGGTCCCATCTCTTGTGTTCCAGAGAGACCCTCAAGCAAGGCCTGGCATACTGCCGGCAGGTACAGAGGCCTGACGGCTCCTGGGAAGGGTGAGTGACTCCCGAGGTGGGATATGTGTTGGGTGGGAGACCTGTTGCATAGCAGGTTCAGTTCAGCAGTGCCACATTAGAGACAGTGGAAGCATACTGCCAGCCACAGGGTTCTAGTGGGCCTTGTTCCTCTTTCACATACTGGGCCTTGTTGGTAGTTGCTGAAGGCAGTTGTGTCTTTGACCATATGGGAACATTCCGTGATGTTTGTGATCACTCACTGCTGTGGCATTTGAATCTACTCTTACCTTGCTGGGTAGTTCCAGTAGGAGGAGCTGTTTGACTGTGTGACTGCCAGGCTGTCTCTCATCTGGAGTTGGTGTGGTTTGCTGAAGGCCATGGGAGGTTTTTCTTGAAAAATACCCTCAGCATCTTACTCAAATAAAAGGACAGACATAGAAAGATTGCATTCATCTGGGGAAAATAAAGTAACAAAATAGGAGACTAACACCCAAGAATAGCCGAGATAAGTACCAAGAGGTTCACTCCATGGCTTGGAGGCCAGCCGCGTACTCTAGGGGTAAAGGCAGCTCAGATAGAGAAGGGAGCACCAAATAAAGGGTGTTGGGAAGATCCACACAGGATGGGAGATGCATGCTGAAAGTAAACTATAGACCGAACATGATTGCCACTCAATACCTCTTTTGCAAACCACAGCACCCAAAAGGAGAGAGAGAACAAAAGAGAATGCCCTGCCACAGAGGCAGGGTGAGAAAGAGGGGGAGGGGGGGTGGGAGAGATACTGGAATTAATGGTGGTGGAAAATGGGCACTGGTGGTAGGGTAGGTACTCAATCATTGTATAACTGAAACCCAAGCACAAAAATTTGTAAGTCTACAACTGTACCTCATGGTGTTTCACTAATTAAAAAAGAAAGGGCTCAGACTCTCTCTCCTTGTTGCCTCCAGCTCATGGGGGGTCTGCTTCACCTATGGCACCTGGTTTGGCCTGGAAGCATTTGCCTGCATGGGGCAGATCTATTGTGATGGGTAAGTGACACACCTACCCTGAGGGTAGGTCTCTGGCCAGCCTTTCTGCTATGTTTGCTTCTTTCTTTGGGGGTTGGGTTTTGTGAGAGGCTTGACATAAGGAGGAATTCCCTGAGTCCTGAACAGTAGTGGCAGCCATCTGTCTTAGCGATGTTTGGCTGTGAAGTTGCTCCCTGCTCTTTCCTACCTGTGAAAGGAGAGGAGCTTTGGGCTCCCTGCCCTTCCTGAACTCCATTCACAGTAGTTGAAGAAAAGGAGGAGACCTCAGATCTGAACTGTTGCTGGCTACCTCCCTTAGCTTTGCTCTGCTGGAGCTAGGAGGGCATTTGCTTAATCAAGCAAATTTGGGCAGCCCCGGTCCTCTTCAAATGACAGCAAATGCTGTTCCCTCTCCTGAGCCCCTCAAGTTGGTGAGGTTGTGTGGGTTTACGAGTTCTCTTTCCAGCAACCCTGAAGGTGACGGTCTCTGTCCACTCACGGTCCTTGGAACCAGAGGGCAGACCTTCACATCCTGCCCATGTTCCCAAATGACTGTCTTGTGTTTGGTCTCTATAGGGTAGCCAGTGCAGAAGTCACCCGGGCCTGTGACTTCCTGCTCTCCAAGCAGATGGCAGACGGTGGCTGGGGGGAGGACTTCGAGTCCTGTGAGCAGCGTCGCTATGTACAGAGCGCCCAGTCCCAGATCCATAACACCTGCTGGGCCCTGATGGGGCTGATGGCTGTGAGGTGGGCACCAAAACCTGTTCCTGGGAAGTCAGTGGGTTGGATGGGGCAGCCCAAAATGCTCATGTCTTGAGGAAGCCTGGTCACCAGTGACAGCCAGGGAAACAAGTGCTCAGGAGTGGCAGGAGGTGTGGCAGCTGTGTGTGTGACGATGTGGCAAGTGCCGGTGCTTATAGACACGTGCTTATGGGCACAGATGTACTCACAGGCACAGATGTACTTCCCCGCATACACAGTCAGTGCTGCTTTCATGGGTTTGGGGCCATTGGAATCCTTCTACAGCACCCTCGAAGCCAGACTGGTCAACAGGAGTAGGAGCATCAGAGTGTGGGGACCCTCAGTGTACCTCTGCCTCCCATCACTGAAATTTTTGTCCTTCCTATGTCTCTAGCCTTGAGAAAGTGAAGGGCCACATGTGGCTCCTGGCCCGCAGAGGACCCTGAGTACCAATGAATGGCCTGGGATGCTCCCTCATGGACAGCCCTCTCAACTCCTCCTCGCAATGTTTTTTCACTTCCCAGGTCTCTGGGAGTGATGTTAGTGATTCTGCAAAGAGCAGTGCTGACTGTTTCACTGGGTGCTATACTCCACATGGGTTGGTTTCATCTCGTGCATCATCATTTTTTCCCCCTCTTTGTTCCGGGCTTGGTGACATGAGATTGAGGACTCAGGGCTAACTGGTTAAAGCCTATCTCACACTGAGTGTGGAGGGTGTACTGAAGCCTGTCTCTTGCCCAGGTATCCTGATGTAGCAGTCCTGGAGAGAGGAGTCAGATGTCTGCTTGGCAAGCAGCTCCCCAGTGGCGACTGGCCTCAGGTATGCCCTGCCACTTCTGCGCCCTCACCTGTCCCTCACCGAGTACTGGGGTAGGGTTTTGGCTTTGGAATCAGAGGCATGTGTCTTATGTTGGAAACGTATCTGTGATGGGAGTTGCATCCAGAGGGCCTACATGACTTTGGCTATTTGCATATGAAACACTAACTGGAGGCAGGGTGAGAGCTGGGCAGGGAACAGTCCAGGGGCCTGATGGGCTCTCACTCAATATTGTGACTCATGAGGTTCTGGGAGGTTGACTTCCGTGTATCCGAGACTAGGACTCTGTGGGGCTGGGGACACAGACTGGAGCGTTAGCTGGGCTCCAGGGGATCCAAAGCTGGGTGGTATCCAGGAAGCTGTCTGCTGATGTTCTCCGTACTCTTGGCAGCTGACTCTTCAGTGAGATTTTGACTTTGGGAACCCCACGGCTACTGGGGGAGCCTTTGTTTGTATTTCCTTTGTGTCTTTTCAGGAAAATATCTCTGGGGTCTTCAACAAGTCCTGTGCCATCAGCTACACAAACTACAGGAATGTCTTCCCCATCTGGACTCTTGGCCGCTTCTCACGCCTGCATCCTGAGAGTGTCCTTGCTGGTCACCCCTGAGAGTGTTTTGGGGCATTTGGGTGGGCACTAGGGTGTTGGGTGGCTTAGCTGGGGTGGTCATGCAGTTTTGATAGGATAATAGGACATGGGAGACCTGCATCTTTGCCCTGCTCCCAGGGCCAGCCCTGTGTCAGGGATGAGGTACAGCCTTGGCTTGGCTGGGTACTAGCTGAGAGCTGGGGAGAGCGGAACTCATTGGTGACACTCAGTGAGTTCTTCCTCAGCGGCTGTGGTACTGGGGAGTTTTCTTGATCCACAACAGTTCTCAGGGCAGGTGTGCCTTATTTGTGTGCAGGCAAGTGTCTCTAGTTCCAGAGTTTAGGGTCATCTTGTAGAGTAAAATTGCCTGAAGCCTAGATAGTGTTGGGCACTGGGTGTTACTGTGGTGAGTGCTGTTGTATGCAGAAACGCTAGGCTTGCTGTAGTGGCCATTCATGTGCCTCCAGCCAGCGACTCAGAGCCACCAGCCCTTATGGCCCGATATGTGCTCTGAGCTGAGTCTAGGGTCTGATTTCTGGGGCAGAGCCTCTCAGTGGTAACCCCTCTGATATCCTCTTCACTTCTGGTTCAGCATGCCTGGACTTAGGATTCAGGATGGTGGACCAGCAGTTCACATGCTCAGGGATTCCCTAGGGGTGATTGTAATGAGTCACCTGAAGTCAACTTTGATTAGAATAAATCCTAGTGGGGGTATCACTCTTAAAACCACACTCAGCTTCTCACCCACCCTGCCTCTTTCTCTGTCCCTTGACTGTGTCTCCTGGTGATTCTTCCTTGGCTTGCCAGCCTCCATCAGCCTGCCCAGCACTCTGACAGCTCCTTGATACCCCCTGAGCCCATCACAGGACTCCATTACCTAGGACCAGCACCTCATAGACTTTGTACCCTGTGGCCTTACACCCCAGCTCTTTCCCCTGAGCTGCCCCTCTGCTGACCTGTCCAAGCATTGCTGCTGTGTATACTGAGCCCTACAGTTTTACTGAGGGCCACCCTGTGGCGAGTGGTGGACACTGTTGGCAGTGGATATCCCCGCTTTTCCTTAGGTGTCCTAAATGTAGCTGAAGTTTATTTTGGCTGAAGAAACTGTTGGGATCCCTTTGAAATCTGCCAAGTTTGCTTCTATACTGTTTTCTTGGCTCATTTCCCCACAACGAATGCGGTTGTGGGACAGATCATGATTCACCAATACCATCAACTCACTGGACACAACACAGTTTGCAGGAAAGAAATGGAAATCGCTTCTATGCTGAAAATATCAACAGACTATGTGACAGTTGTCTTAATTAACATTTGGGCCAGGGAGAGGTTGCAAAGAACAAGCGCAAGCTTTGAATCCAGGAGACCTGGGTTCAACCTCCAGCACCACCACATGGTCCCCCAGGCACGAATGAATGTGACTCCAGTCCCCATGAATTAAAAACAAATTTGAGTTCCTGAAGGCAGACGCGTGTTATACTTGTTTTGCCTCATCTGGGGAAACAGTTACGCTTCTGAGATTTTCTGATACCTTTGCTTCATGCTAGACATTGGACTGCCACTTCCTGGTTTGGGCACCAAGAATTAACTGTTAGAAGATAAGCAGAATGTCTTTCTCGTCACCTGAGAGGGCATATTGACTTCATTCATATTAATACCAAGTTTTTTACATGCTGGATACATGATTAAGGATTCTTTTTTTCAATGGGTCACCCTAGCAGTGCTCTGGGGGTCTGAGGCCACTGGTGCTCAGGATCACCAGGATCCTAAAAATTCTTGAACTCAAAGTACTTTATTTTTGGTTTCCTGCAGCAGATTGTGAGTACCATGCAAAGTTTTCTCTGGAGTCACTTTCTGTCTTCATTCACATCATTCAGTTTTTAACTCTATCCCTTGAAGAATTCTCTAACTGGAGATGCTTAACTTACCTCCAGGACATACAGAATACAACCAATGTTGCTGTATAGATCTAAATTTTATTTAGATAATAAAAGTATTTTATAAACTGCTGTGTATCATTGCTTTCTCATTCTTCATCTCAGCTAATAGAATAATTACAGGTAAGTCATCAGCAAGAGGCAAAGGGAAATAGTGACTAGGAAATAAGATGGGGTTGTGGGGGATGTTAGTGCATGCGACCTGCCAGGGGTGGGATTTATTGGCCTCCATATTTTGTCCTCAACTTTCTAGAAGGCAGATGGAGAGGAAGATTGTATATATAAGACAACCCCTTATAGCTTAGATGATGGATGTCATTGTGGGTGGGCTTCACAGCTGAGAAGGGCTTGTGGTCTAGGTAGATGTCCATGAGAACAGTCCTTATGGGGGCAGTGAGAGGCTGAGTAGGCAGTCAGCAGGATACAGGCCCTTAATGATGTGTGATCTGCATGCCTAATCCTCTCCATTGCATGTGTGTGATCAGGGCCACACAGCGGAGCTCAAGGGCTGTTCCTGACTCTGTGTAAGGGTTACTCCCAGCAGTGTTTGGGAAGCCATATGCAGTGCCAGGAGTTGAATTGGGATCGGCACATGCCAGGCAAACACCTTAAACCCCTGCCCTGACTATGGCACCTCCCTGGGTTTGTTTGCTGGATTTAAGATTCCATTTCCTCATTCAGAAGGATAAGGGTATTATGGTGACTTTAGAGCTGCTTGCTCTCTTTTGTGAATTTTTTTTCTGTGCTGACTTATAGATAGATGATTTCAAGCATCCTCTGGGATGGTGTTGCTCTGGATGTCTGGGGTGACCCACACTTGGCCTGAACAGACTTGAATTTGCCTGGCTTGAGATAGCTTCCTGTGCCATACTAGGTATCTCATGGGTATGAGATGTGAGTCCAGTTCACCAGCCCTTCCCTGATGTTCTCAAGTACAGTGGCGAGCCACTTAGAAATAGAGACAGATGTCTGCGGTGTCCAGAGGCCTTAAGGGGTCTGTGAGCTGTTAGGTAATGTTGAGTGGTCTAACATAGAACAGGAGTTCAAGAAATAAAGAGGAATGAAGGGTGGAGGAAAAAGATCTCAAGTAATTATGCTAACCCACAGACAACAAGCCCAAACACCCAAAAAAATGCATCAACATGATAACCAAGCCCAGGTGAAAGCAAACAAAGCAGATAAGTTACAGAAGGTGGACAAAGTTACTAGGGCAAGCTTGTAACAACCTTGCCCAAGGAGAAATTGGCTAAGTTGTTTAAGCTTTCAAAGGGAAGCTCTGATCATCACTCTAAAGTTAAGAACACCAGAAAGGGATATGTTTGTAGCAAAGAAAGAAGACTTTCCCCCTTGAGGAAGTAGGTGTTTTGGGTTTTTTTTTTTTTTGGGGGGGGGGGTTGGGTCACACCGGGTGATGCTCAGGGCTGACTCCTGGCTCTGCACTCAGGAATCACTCCTGGCAATCTGGCGATGCTCAGGGGATCATATGGGATGCTGGAAATCGAACCAGGGTTGGCCACGTGCAGCAAACACCCTACCCGCTGTGCTATCGCTCCAGCCCAAAGAGGAAGTAGTTTTTTAAGAACTATTTTTTTTCTGGAGATTTTTTTCCTTTTATTTATTTTTTTAATTTTTCCTTTTATTTATTTTTTAATTAGTGAGTATTGCATTTCAGTCATGCAATGCATTTCAGTCATACCCATCCCTCCACCAGTGCCTATTTTCCACCAATGTTCCCAGTATCCCTCCCACAACTCCCACCCCATCCCCCACCACCCCACCCCGCCTTTGCGGCAGGGCATTCCCTTTTGTTCTCTCCTTTTGGGTGTTGTAGTTTGCAATAGAGGTATTGAGTGGCCATTGTGTCGGTCCCCAACGGGTCCTCCCAACGTCCTTTACCTGGTGTTCGCTTCTCTATCGGAGTTGCCTTTTCCCCCAACATGTGAGGCCGATTTCCAAGCCTTGGAGCAGAGCTCCTGGTCCTTATCTCTACTACTCTTGGGTGTTAGTCTCCCATTCTGTTACTTTATATTCCACAGATGAGTGCAGTCTTTCTATGTCTGTCCCTCTCTTTCTGACTCATTTCACCTAAGGTGATACTTTCCATGTTCCATGTTGATCCACTTATATGCAAATTTCATGACTTCATCTTTTCTAACAGCTACATAGTATTCCATTGTGTAGAGGTACCAAAGTTTTTTAACCAGTCATCTGTTTTTGGGCACTGGACTTTTTTCCAGATTTTGGCTATTGTAAACAGTGCTGCAATGAACATACAAGTGCAGATGTCATTTCTATTATACTTTTTTTGTCTCTAGGATATATTCCCAGGAGTGGTATTGCTGGGTCAAATTGGAGCTCAAATTCTAATTTTTTGAGAATCGTCCATACTATTTTCCAAAAGGGCTGAAGCAGTCAGCATTCCCACCAGCAGTGAAGGAGAGTCCCTTTCTCCCCATATCCGCACCAACACCGGTTGCTTTTGTTCTTTTGGATGTGGGCCAGTCTCTGTGGTGTGAGATGATATCTTATTGTTGTTTTGATCTGCATCTCCCTGATTATTAGTAATGTAGAGCATTTTTTCATGTGCCTTTTTTTTTTTTTAATATTTTTATTTATTTGTTTGCTTTTTGGGTCACACCCAGCGATGCACAGGGGTTACTCCTGGTTCATGCACTCAGGAATTACTCCTGGCTGAGCTTGGGGGGGACCATATGGGATGCTGGGAATCGAACTCCGGTCGGCCGCATGCAAGGCAAACGCCCTACCCGCTGTGCTATCACTTCAGCCCCTCATGTGCCTTTTAGCCGTTCATATTTCTTCTTTGAGAAAGTTTCTGTTCATTTCATCACCCCATTTTTTGATGGGGTTTAAAAAACTATTTAAAATGTAACTTTAAGGGATGAAATGTTGGGGCTGGACTGAGTTGTCAGGGTGAGCCCATGTAGACTGCACTGCACAATGGGCAGGAACATTGGGATCCATGAAAATGGGCGAGGTTTTTTGTGTGTCCTGACTAGTTTGGATGAGGCTCTCTACCTTTGTCACAGATCTGAGAACCTGGGCCCTCCATAACATAAATTTCTTTCACATTCCTTGCCTCAGCACCTCTGACTGAACAAACATTCACGCAACAGTGAGAGCACTAGTAGGGCATTT